TAGCACCAGGGTCCCTGTCCCTTTAAGGCTTCCAAAAAGCACTCGCCAAAAAGAGAAAAAAAAAGGGGAAAAACACGATTTCCTCTGTCCTCAGGCACCGGTCTCAGGCACCCGGCCTCCGGTCCCGCAGGTAAAAATACGGGATAGTCTTTGTCCTCAGGTGCCAGTCCCAGGCACCCGCTCACCAGTCCCGCCGCCCTGCCTCCCTAGCAACGGGGTCGCTGTCCCTTTAAGGCTTCCAAAAAGCACTCGCCAAAGGAAAAAAAAAAACCGCTCCGGTTTCTTTCCACTCCCCGGGAGCCGGGGGGAGGGGCGCTCGGGTCCCGCCGGGCCGGGGCTTGTATCTTACCCCCTTCATGAGGCGCTGGGTTCTCGCAGGTGTGGATGTGGTCTGGATGTTGTCCTGTGTCCTCTGGTCTCTATTTTAGGAAGAGTTTTGTTTGTTATATTTTCATAGCTCTATGTGTTTTTGGGAGGAGATTTCCACTGCTCTACTCACGCCGCCATCTTCGCTCCGCCTCCTGAAGTTTTTAAAAGAAAAATTCAGTGGTCTATGGTAAACACTTCCAAATATACCTCAGAGAAAGAATGCCTAGACCACAGCCTTTTGAGTAAGAGAATTCAGTTGTTTGAGATTTTTCTTTTAAACCAAGGCTGTTCCAAAGGTTTAGTGCCTCACCCACAGCTTCTTTCCCCCCCTCCATATTCACCCTCGCCCAGCTTGCACCAGCTCTCGTTATCTTGTGCAGTCCCAGTGGAAGTCCTTCTGAAGCAGCCATGGGAGGCGTCAGGTGGAAGAGTGAGGTAGTTCTAGGAAAGTGGAAAAGTGCAGGACGCACGCAGTACAACCTGTCACGCCAGCTCCGCGCCATGCTTCTGGCCAGACTGCTATAACTGTCGCCCCCCTCTTCTTCCTGGCTGGTGCAGTATGCTCCTTAAAGCCGTGGTTTCCCTTCAAGCCCAGTGGATGGGCTCCGGCATCTTGGGATCTGTTGTTTCAGTAAGAGGAGCGCATGCCTTCTGCTTCTTCAGCTGCGGGCAGAGTGATGGTGAGAGTGGCCCTTCTCGCCTCAGAGGCAGGATGAACTTCCCTGCAGGTTGGAGGTGGCGGCCTCCTCTGTGCTGGGCTTCCAGTAGTTCTGAGCCCTTCTCCGTTCCTCCTCCAAGTATCCCCTCCAATGACTTCCAGGCTTGATATCATTTCATATTCACTCCAACTTGGTGTCAGATTAATTTTTTCCTTAAGTTTAAATCTTTTTCTCTTTAAAATTTTGACTTTTGAATATATTTCGTTGGTAGAGTTTCAGAGGGTAATAAATAATGACCCCTCTGCCTTACTGAGTTCAGAATTAATTGAGAGACAAAGAAGCCAAGCATATGGAGCTCAAAACTCTAACCTTCGTTATTGATTTTACTGATAAGCACTTTGAAAAATGTCATCTTAGGTCTACTGGTCAGTACGGGCATGTTAATACTTCAACTCTGTATTTGACATCTATACACTCAGTGACCACACTGGGTGATCACAGGCCACTCCATGAGTATCTAACCCTCTAAAATTTAAAGCAAGAAAGAGAAGAATAGCTCCTTTAAGGAGCTGGTAAGGGGCAGAAAGAGAGGCAGGGGTATTACTCTAATGGAAGTACCTACCCCCGTGAGAACGAGGAGTGGAGAACTGTGTTTGTAATAGGAGGTGATACCAATCTCCCCTAAGACACACCATCAGTTTATAGCAGATGCTCAGAAAAAAATGCTATTTTAAGTAAGGTTGTACAACACATTCAGATTTCAGAAACCTAAAAGTCATTTTCCCATCTTAGAAGTAAGGATATATTGTAAGTTACCAACCATTTCTTCCTTTGGTAGAAACTTTCTATGGTTTGTACTAAATGGAGGGCATACCTTGGCTGGGGTGGGGAGCCCCATCTGAAGTTTGAGCCCTGTTACAAACTAGCTGGAATCCTTTTCTTCATTGAACCTCCCTAGGCCTGCTTTTCATCTGCTCGGAAAGGAATGCAGGCCAGCTTAATACATGGACAGATGAAAAGAATAGGTCAGACCCGAACTTCCACAGCTAATTAGCTTCAGAGTTGGGACTAAAGCCCAGGTATCTTCATTCCCTATTCTCATTCTTTCCTACTGTATACATTTTAGATTGACTTGATTTGAATTCAGATAACATAGTTCAGCAGCAGAGAAGTGATCATTCATTTGCTCCTTCATTCACTTAACAGAGAACCTTTTCCTTTTTTTATGCCACATATTGTGCTAGGCAATAAGGGAGCTGAAATGTTCTTATCTTTATAGCAGCATACAACCTGTGTGCTCACATTACAGATGTAGGTGACCACCTCTGCCACCACCCTTGACTTACAGCCTCACTGGAAGGGCTTCAAACTGATCACTGGTCTTCAGGGAGATCCAGACCTCCTTGGCTGCCCTGAAACCATCGTCCCTCTTATGCTTCCCTGAGACCTGGAATTGTGCCCCTTTGGTTGACATGACCCATCTCTGAGAATTAACTTAGAGCATCTTTTTTTTTTAATTAAAGTATCCTTGATATATAATCTTATGTTGGTTTCAAATACACAACACAGTTGTTCAACAGTTGCCCATATTATTAAATCCTCACCCCCTCTAGTGTGGTTACTATCAATGTAGTAAGATGTTACAGAATCATCAACTGTATTCTCCGTGCTGTACTACCATCTCTGTGACCAACTTATATTGTGATTGCAAATTATTGCACCCCTTTATCCCTCTCCTCTCCACCCCCACCAACCCCTCCTCTTTGGTAACCACTAGACCCTTCTCAGTGTCTGTGAGTCTACTGCTATTTTGTTCCATCTGTTTTGCTTTGTTTTTATATTCCACAAATGAGTGAAATCATATGATATTTGTCTTTCTTCTCCTGGCTTATTTCACTGAGCATAATACCCTCTAGTTCCATCCATGTTGTTACAAATGGCAGGATTTCTTTTCTTTTTATGGCTGAATAATATTCCATTGTGTATATGTACCACATCTTCTATATCCATTCATCTATTGATGGACGCTTAGGTTGTTTCCATATCTTGGCTATTGCAAACAGTGCAGTGATAAACAGGGGTGCATATGTCTTTTCAAATCAGGGATTTTATTTTCTTCAGGTAAATTCCTAGGATTTGAATTCCTGGGTCAAATGGTATTTCTACTTTAATTTTTTGAGAAACCTCTGTACTGCACAGTGGTTGCACCAACTTATATTCCTACTAGTGGTGTGCGAGGGTTCCCACTTCTCTGCATCCTTGCCAGCATTTCTTATTTTTTGTCTTGTGGATAGTGGCCATTCTAACCAGTGTGAGGTGATATCTCATTGTGATTTAAATTTAGATTTCCCTGATGATGAGTTATGTGGAGCATGTTTTCATGTGCCTGTGGCTATTTGTATTTCTTCTTTGGAGAAGTGTCTGTTCATGTCCTCTGCCCATTTTTTGATCAGGTTATTTGTTTTTTGGGTGTTGAGGCTTATGAGTTCTTTATATATTTTGGATGTTAACCCCTTATCAGATGAGTTGTTTATGAATATATTCTCCCATACTGTAGGATGCCTTTTTTTTTGTTCTGCTGATGGTGTCCTTTGCTGTACAAAAGCTTTTTAGTTTGATGTAGTCCCACTTGTTCATTTTTGCTTTGATTCCCTTGCCCAAGGAGATGTGTTCAGGAAGAAATTACTCATGTTTATATTCAAGAGATTTTTGCCTGTGTTTTCTTCTAAGAGTTTTATGGCTTCATGACTTACATTCAGGTCTTTGATCCATTTCAAGTTTACTTTTGTGTTTGGAGTTAGACAGTAATCAGTTTCATTCTCTTACATGGAGCTGTGCAGTTTTCCCAGGACTAGTTGTTGAAGAGGCTGTCATTTCCCTATTGTATATATCCATGGCTCCTTTATCATATAGCTCATAGAATCTTATACAAGTTCTTCAAGTGCCCAAAGAGAAAAACTACAGAAAAACTACCATTCATTGCCCTCATTATGGTTTTTCTATTTCTGTTTATAGGGTGTTTAAGCTGGCATTACTATGTAACCATGCCAATGCCAGCTTCCACCTTCACAATTGCAGTGGGATCCTGGGCAGAAATGAAGTTAGATACATGCCCATCAAGCAATCTGGAAACAGAGAGCTCCTTCTCACCCTCTGAGGCTGACTTCAGGTTTGTATTGGGAACTTACTGAAAAACAAACGCTTGAGGGGTGGTGTGATGCAGTTATTCCAAGCGCTGGGATGGTGACTCATCCCTGCTGAGAAACTAAACCAAAATATGATTAATCAAAGCAGGAAAAGCCCTACTGGGAGGGAAAGAGATTGAGAAGCAGAAATGTGGGCATATTGTTTGTGCAGAAAGAGAGAATGAAAGAAATATAAATGAAGTTTGTGAAGTCAGGTGAACTCTTTTTATGTGTTTGGCTAAGTCAACAGAATCTTCAGATTCAACACTTTCCCTTCTCCTCCACTTTTTTTTCTTGCTTTGGTTTTCAGTGCTTATTTGGTTAAAAACAAACTTAATAGCATGAAGTTGCTGTGGGCCCCTGTGGGCCACGAGGCTGCTGGGCTGGCAGTGTGGCTGCATGGGGCCTGTCAGCCTAGGAGAACAGGACACGAAGACGAAGGCCATGGGGTTGCGAGAATCCTGCAGGGTCATGGCCCTGTTAATAACTTCAGGAGCAATGTCTTCTTTCTCAGAGTGGAGCAGAGCAAATCAGTTTAAAGTTTTAGAAAATTAGTATAGGCCAGTGATACTCACTTGCAGCATTCCCAGACGTTCAACTCTTTCTAGCTTTGAGATCCAAAAGGGAGAAGAGGATGCACCTAAGAGGCACAATAGTGTGCTAAACGTACATCATTGCATCATGCTCAATTCTAGGACTTTTCCACCAGCTCAGCAGATCATTTCTCCTATTTACAGATAGCCAACAGGGCAGTGCCTTCAGCCGGGGAGAGCCCAGGGTATTAGGGCAGGTGGGGAGTCCGCCTTGGTGCCGGTTGCCCTGTGCTGCTTTACTCTGCTGGTTGCTTTGCTCATGCTGCAGTGACCCTAATGGTCAGTGTGGTGAGGAGGCAAAGCCATTGAGCCCTCCCCTTGACTGGTATGTCTTCTTGCCTGCATTTGCTTTTTGAAGGAAGGGAGATCATTTCCACTTCCTGCTTGATAACCTGCCTATTTCAGACGCTCTTCCTTAAGCTGTGTAGGATATCCTAGATTGCTTATTAGATTTTGCTTATGTGCTTTCAAGGGAAGAAGGGAGTTGTGGACAAAAGGGATGTGTAACTTTCATGTGGGAACACGTGAGTGTGAGCTGCTCCAGCATTCTGTCCTCCTACGGTCACAGAGTGGGCCTCATTTTGCAATTTTGGGCAGCTCGGTAGGGAGGACAGGTGCCCGGAGAGTCACTTGAATCTGCAGTGGACATGGTTTGAGCAAGAAATCAACCGTTTTGTGTTAAGCCAGTGAGACCCTGGAGGTATTTGTTTTTTCAGCATATTCTAGCCTATCCTGAGTTGATACAGAAGCTATTGGATATCTGAAGTCATGGGAAATCTTGATCTAAATGTCATTTTGGTTAGTCCTGAGGAAAAGCCTGTAAGATAGATAGGCTTTATTATTTCCATTTTGTAGATAAAGATAGTGAGTCTTCAGATAGCAGCATGTGCAAGTTCACATCCCTGCTAAACTGCAACATCTGGAGTCATTCTGGGCTCAGCTCCTCTGGAGAGGTGATTCAGAACCATACTTGGAGGCTTAAAAACTGTACCTAACATCCATGCCAACCTGGTATCTGATCCACTTTCACAGCTGGAGAGTCAGGGCTGTGACTGAGTCCCTGTTACTGACTGGAGTGTGTCATGTTGGAACAGGAGACAGAGTTGGCGAGCACTGCCTTTGAGCCTGAAGGTGACATCCCTGCTGGTTGGGCATGTTTCCTTGGGCAAAGCCAACTTTCCTTCTCTGCAGAATGAAGACTCCACCTGGGGCTAAAATGCTGGTGAAGAAGCCCTCTGCTCTTCACCTACTCCTGCAGGGCTGCTGACCGCTAGAGCAGGTGTGCAGTTGAAAACAAGTGCCTTAGGAAGGCTGGGGATGGCAAAGACATCTGCTGTTTTGTCCTTCTAGCCATATCCCCAGAGACATGAGGTGGGGAGTGGGCAGCAACCATTTCTTGTGTGCTTTCTCTGCTGCCCAGAAGAACTGAAATGGCTTTTCACTTTTCTTGCATCTATAACTGTGGAGGGAGGAGGACATGGCCAAACCAAGTGAGGATTCTGGGAAGAGGGGATAGCTGCCATTCCTGCGGGGGCTCATCACAACTTTGCTCTTATCCTCCTGAGTGTAGAACCAATTGAGAAACAGAAGGAGAACAAAAGAGAGGTTTCATTAGTGATGGAAGCTGGATCGAGGGGACTCTCAGTGGAGTCTAATACTCCATTTCCAAGCTTACCCCCGAGTTACCTACCCAGCTGGACTGCTGGCAGCCTCCACAACACAGCTCATGCAGCCTGCCTCATGGCCAGAAAGTACCCATGCTGTGGGCAGGCAGATTTGAAATGAGAAAGCCCAGAGCAGCCTAGCCAGTCCTACCCTCTGGAGCGAGGTCATGGGTACAATGCCAGGGAACACATCTTGTGTGGGAACTCGAGGCCTGGGGATGGCGTCTCTCCCACACTCCCTCCTGTGTCTGACATGCTATGACTAAGTTTTCCCTTCATTTATCATAGTGCTTGTCCATCAGAAATGTGCTGCTGAGAAAATAATAGCTTACATTTGCCTAATCCTTCCCTGACTGTGTTTAGTGATCAGAGGTGGCCTGTGTTCTTAGCCATTAAGTCTCTGGCTCCATGCTGTTTGCCAGCAGAGGTGCTTGGAAGTGCCAGTGGCAGTGGTGTTTTGGTTATGTCCACATCTGGTTGCCTTGCCTTCCCCAACCCCCTTTTCTACTTCAAGCCTTCCTAAGACCACCAGTTCATTCACGTAAATGTAACTTTTACAGGGGCCTTACATACCACAGGCTTTTACTTGCCTAAAGTGCTCATTTGGACCCTAGAAATTTGGACTAAGTTCTGGTTACTGAACTTCTGATCACTGTTTGTGTGGGCTAAATTACGGGAAGAACATTCCCTCCTCCACACACTGTCCAGCTTGCTCTGGTGGGGCATTTTAGAAAATATGTTAGTTGTAAGGCACTTAGGTAAACTGTTGAAAGTTTATTAATTATTCTGCTGTAGTATAATCTTCTCCAGCCACACAGGAGGCTATGCGATGTCTAACTTCTTGAGGCTTTTGTTAAAGCATTGTCTTCATATTGGGGCCACCCAGTTTAAGCACAGCACAGAAACATGGATAAAATCCAGAGGAACTCAGCAAAAATGATTAAAAGCATGGAAATGGGCCCCATGAAGAAGAGCAAAAGGCTTTGAAGGAGTTCATCCAGAGGAAGGGAGACTCTGGGCTAGTGTGGAGGGGGTTCTTTAGAGTCAGGAAGTCTTTGCAAGTCATCATGTGGACCTTGCTGCTGTGTCTGAAAGCCTAGAGAAAGAGGAATGGTAGATCTAAATCATGGGGGAAATGTCAGTTTCCTGTACACACTTCACTGTGTATGAGGGGAGCCTTCCCGTGTCTTCTGGGCTTGATTTGATTTCTCCAGCCCTGCTCCCTCAGGGTATTTCTCTCTCTGGCTCTTACTGCGTGTATCTCATTTTGCTTTGTAATATCTTAATGCCCTAAAAAAACACAGGCAACTTTCAGACGTCACTGCATCATCATATAAATTGATGTCATTGTCAACATATTGGGGGCTGGTGGTGGCATTTTGAACACTTGTTATTTTTATGGTAACCAAGCATCTACTCTGCTTCCTAAAATATGTTAATAAATTGTATAAACATTCTACTGTGTCCTGTACTCATCAGAATTTTTCATTTTTTCTCCCGGTAAAACTGTAAACTCCTTAAAGATAGGGTTGGAGATGTGTTCATATGTGTGTACATGGCAGCACCCTGCTGGTGCCTGAATAAAGCAGGAACACAGGAAATACTACACTGTCAGTTGAACTGAGAGGGAGGGCTGTGAAAAGGGGATGTGCCTTCCCAAGGGAGACTTTTTCTAGCGGTTCCTCCTGCACCCACATGGGGAAACTGTGTCAGGGTGTTTCCATGCAGTACCTTTTTGAAACAAGAGAATGGTTAAAGGAGAAGCCCTTGAGGCAATTTTCAGTTCTGTGATTCTGATAAAACATGGTCACTCTTACTCATCAGAAAGGCCTCTTATAAAATAATTTCAGCCTAGCAGTTGGATAGCAGGGAATCATTTACCATCCTAACATATATTTCAGTTCTTCCCAAGAAGAATCCCAAGATTCTTCCCAGAATCCCCACTTGGTTTGGCCATGTCCTCCTCCCTTCACAGTTATAGATGCAAGAAAAGTGAAAAGCCATTTCAGTTGCTTCTGGGCAGCAGAGAAAGCAATATTAATGGGTGGAATCAACAAAGAAGAGCACAACACCAGAGAGCCCAGAGCAGGTGAGCTCATCTTCAAGAAGGTTCCAGGTCAAAGTTTACCCAAGAACTATAATGAAGTATGTGGAAGGAGGGCCAGGAGGGAGAGCTCTGGACTCATGCTGCGAGGAAAAGGCTGGTTCTCGTCCCTTACGGGTGATGGGATTCATCAGGACAATGCATAGACAGTGTTCAGAAGAGTGCTTGGCACATAATAAATGTTCAGTAGCAGTTGTGATAGGCAGCATTATTGTTTATTACCCTTATTATCATTGGTATTACAGATTACTAATAATAAGCATTATTCTTCACTATTAAAATGTTTACTCTAATTCCGAGTCTGGGCACAAGGAACAGCTATTTGCAAAGGCTTGATTTGTTGACGATCTCGAGAGCATATCAAAGCAGGCACATAGACAGACATGAACAACGGAAGGTTGGTGTGGGAGGCGGCGGCAGCGTCTGTGTGTGAATACGGTTCTGTGGAGGACCGTTTGTGGAGTGAGGGACATGGCCGCTTAGGAAGAGGGGCTCGTATGGTGAGTGTCATAGACTCATGGTGCCAGAAAAAACCTTAGAAACCATTTTAGGGTTTTTGTTTATTCATTTTTAATTAAAGTATTATTAACATACAACAAGTGTTTGGCTTGATGAGCTTTTGATAATCGCATATTCTGTAAACTGTATGGAGAACATCCCATTACCCTCAGTTCCTCTCCCCGGTGGCCACTTTTGTGAGAACACGTGGGGCTTCCCTGATGCCACTTCCGTTCTCGTCGGGAGCCTTGATGGTCTCGCTCACTCACCACTCGATTGCCGTTTTCTCCCAGGCCTTGGTCATGACGAGCTCGCTGATTCACACAGCTGGAGTGACTCTGACAGCCCTGGCAGTGCCCTCCATGTCCAGAGAGAAGTTAACTCCCTTCTTCTCACTTTCTTCCTGAAGAAACTGGCTTCTCTTGGTGTATCTCTGGCTACCTCAAGCTATTCTCTAACCTTTGGGGTTCTTGGCTACAGGAAATAGTCTTGCCCCACAGTGTGTTTCTAGCCAGGCTAATGGAATGCCTTTTTGCAGAACTGTGCTTTGATAGAATTACACTTATGCCCCAACTTTGTCCTGAAGATGCCTCTACACCTCCCATTTCACCATTACTTAATGTGCTCTGAAAGCTTTCTAATAGAGACTGCAAGCTTAAGTGACTAAAGCACATTATGTATCTGTGTAAATACAATGGGAAAAGGTATTGTGGTAGTTAATGTGGTAAATAGCTTTCCTCACTTGATGAGACCTTTGAATTGATGCAGCAGCACAGTACTTATCATTAGGTGGCCATTTGCAGCCTTTTCAGTTAAATGTTTACCAATGGGCCTCTTTACTCACTTTCTCCATATAGCAAGGTTCTCAATCTGGGGATTTTGGCTGGTGTGCAATGTCATTAATGTATTCTTCCCATCGTGTCCTTGCAGACATTTTTTATGGGTCTCCATCCACTTTCCTTACCCCTCAGCTGTGGTGAAATGTCGTGGGTGCTGGAAGCGGTGTTCTGTGTCCCAGGCTGCTAGAGGGCGAGGCTTAGCTCCATAGCCCTGGACATCTCTTTGTGCTGTGCTGGCCATGGGTGGGTGAGAGACACTTCAGAAATTGGGAGAGATATTACTGTTGCAGCTCTGCCCACATTGGGACATGCCAGTGTTTTAAGGTTTTTCAGTATTTATTGTGAACCTAATAAGCACCTACATTTAGAATTATCATTTGTAAATTCAAATTAGAGGGGTTTTCCATTGTGCTTAAATAAAGGATATGTTAACAAGTGGAAAAACAGTTCCTTTTGATGTCAATTTCTTTGGGTAGAGAAGTTCTCTTGAGGCCTGTGAGTCACTAGGTTCTAGGAATTCTTTCTCAGCTCCACCTTTAATGGAATATGGCAGTGTTCAGATGGTGCAGGCAGGCTCTGAAAGGTTTCCTTAAAAGGTGAGTTTAGTTAATTTGTATTGAAAGTGGGTTGGGAAAAATACAGTATCAGAAGTGCCTCTGTGTTCCTTAGCAGCACAACTTCTGGTGGCCTTTGTAGAGAAGACCAAGATGACTTTTTAATAACGTGATTTGTGTTCTTTTGAAAAGTTGAAACCTGTACTGCCATTTGTTTCATTATTCTACCTGGGTCCACATCTTTTATTCTGGAAATTTCCAGAATGGGGTCTTTAATGTGGTTGCATTATCCCTCGCTGTCTTGCCAATGGGTTTCATCCCCGGGCAAGTCACTATAGATTCAATGTGGCCAAAGAAAATGACATCAAAATGTTCTTCGGGTGAAAGGGTTATACCCAACTTTATTTTCAGGTGGCAGGTCAGTCACTAAAATCCCATTCACTCAGAGCGAGTCTGCAGGCAGCAAGCCAGTCTCTGCCTCTGGGCCCCTCTGTCGGCACAGCTGTCCTCTGAGCCTCTCTTCACAGTCGTCCCACACAGCCGTCCTCTGAGCCTCTGTCCTGGGCACTGCCACCACTCCAGCCTCTGCTCTGCTCCCCTGCAGCCTTGCAGCCCTGCCACCGTGTTGCACCCAGAGCACTGGGCAGTGCTCTTTACATAGAGTCAACAGCCATGTATTGCCCATGTATTGAGTTAGTCAACCAGGGCCAGGTGAGAATCCTGGCCACAGGAACTCTCATTTTGTCCATACTCACTTTCTGAGTTATGAATCGTCCCTGATTTGGAGAAGATTTTTCCCATGGTGGCATTTGAAAAGCACACTTCTGAGGGCAGAAATTGCTTTTTATTTTGGGGAGGTGTTGTTTTGAGTCTTGGGGTTTCCCCCTCCTTGTTCTAAAACAAAACAAGATTCCACTACTTTCACTTAGCTTAGATTGAAGTTACTTAATCAGTTTGACACATCAGTAAGTTTATTTTTCAACAGTCCAGAAACAGACAAGCCAAGCCCTTAAGTGAACTGCCTTTGCTCAGGAGCCTTTCTGAACCACTGCCTCCTAGAGTTGCCCATGTCCGTGAGAGCTCCTCACCTCCGTGCAAGAATAAACCTGATTGGCCATAAAGCACATTTTTATTCTGTGTTGTTCCAGGTATGCTGATGTTTGTGGCCACACAGAATACCCCTGCCGCTTCCAGAGTGCTTCTGCTGCCACCCAGGCTATCATTCCTTATCGGGTCTTTGCTCCAGAGTCCCTCAAGGGTGCCTGCCAGGAGACCCTTCTGCAGCTGATCCCACTTTGCCTCTCAGCGGCACACTCTGTCCTGGGCACACACCCGTTCTCCAGGCTGGACTTACTCATCGTGCCCGCCAACTTCCCAAGTCTGGGGATGGCCAGGTATGTTGTTCCCTCATGGCACTTAGGGAGTATGCTTTGGAAATCCTTTGGCTGTTTCTTGCTTTCCCTGGGCAAGGCCAGAGCTGTCATTTGATGAGGATGGGACGGCCATGGTTGCCCGTGCTCGGACACCTCATTGCTGCCTTGTTAACAGTTTGTGTGTAGACTCCACTGCTCATGAGCTTCTGTGTATCATGGGCTAAACTCAACGGCCTTGAAAAAGAGAGAGCTCATACTGGCTGGGATTGAGAACACATTGTGCCCCTGAGTGATCTATGTTGGATTGTGGCTGATGAGTGGCTAGTTAGCTTAGGTGGTGAGAGCATAATGCTAATGAGCCCCAGGCTATGGCCCTGGGCAGAGCAACACAGCTTGGTTCCAGGGCCGCAGGCTCCTCACCTATTGCTGCCCAGCTGTCTCATCCAGTCTCGCCACTTGTCACAAGGGCAATGGCTTGAGAGCCCCTGTGTCAGAGAGACCGTGGGTGGGTCAGTGTAAGTCTGTCAGCACTGCTGGAAAGCAGCTCAAAGCATGGGGGCTCACTGGTGGGCAGGGGTCTCTTGTCTGGGTGCTGTTTTTAATATAGTAAGTGCATTATTCTCACAGTGTTGTCCCAGTTTAGTGCCTATAGAAAATGAAGACCTGCATGCTAAACCTTTCCCTATGTGCTCTTTACACCTAACCATTACTGCTGTTCTTGTGGGAGTCAGAACCGGCATTCCCCTCTGTTCTGTTCTCTCTTCAAACAGAAGATATTTCTGTTTGAAAGTCTTCATCATTAACAGTGGATATGCTTGACCAAGGGTGGGAAAAATCAGCTCATCAAAGCATGTGACCTTAAATTTTTCCCTATTAGTCAAGGAAATTCCTGCTGCCAAGTAATTTCCATGCTTTTGAGCAGCTGTCATTTGTGGTGTTTTCTCTGAAAATTACACACATTCTTAGTAAAACCCGTGAATAGAAAAGAACTGACCAAAACATTTGCTTTTGATCTTTACTATATATGTATACTTTTTAAAAGCTGGCCGGCTAGTCTTAATCCTTGAGGAGGTCTGAGAAAGTCATTTAGACTGATTTTATCCTGTGTTTATGAAGACAATGGCAATGCAGAAACTAGGATAATTATAGATCTTTGGTTATGTGCATCATATATTGTTTTGGATGTCTATATATAGACTTCGTCTTTACACAGGGGCCTCTTTAGTCCTTTTGAAGAGTCTGCTGGACTTAATTTAAGCATAATTATTGGCGAAGAAAGGGTTGTTCATTAAATGTTTCTCATTTGCACAGTTTTGATGGGCTATATTTATTTGGGAGTTTTTAGCAATTTATGGGAATTGAAGTTTTTCAGGGCATGTTTGCTAACAGTTCCAAGTTCTGACCTGAGGGAACCAGAGGCAGAGTATTTTTCCTACAGAGGACTTTATTTTCTATAGCTCCTTTCTGACATCAGTCTGCCAAAACCAGAATTTGTTGACCTGCAGGCCATTCTATAAAGCTTTTCTTTTCAAGTTTGCATGCCCAAGCAGATTGGCTCTGTGTTTGCTGCTTTTTGAGATATTTAAAGTGATTTAAACATGCTTAACTGTATTTTTAAAGTAATAAGCCTAAGTACCCTAAAGCCAACTGTACCAGACCCAAGTGTCAAAAGTGTGATGGTGATAACAACTTTGGAGCAACAAGACTGCTTTTATGCATAAAAACAGGAGACCAGTACATTTAAAAATTGGTGGCTGGCTGTCAAATACCATTTCCCGCCCCCTCCCCCCCCCATTTTTTTCTTTCTTTTTAGACTGTGGAAGTAGTCTGCTCTGGTCTAGTGTTTTCTTGGGCTCAGTTACCATTCCCTGCGTTTGAGCTGTGGAGGCGACTGTGGTATCTTCCACCACCGGGGGCAGGCTGAGGGAAATGTTCTGTTTTTCCTGACTCTGACCTAAATTGATTCCACTTGCTTGGCTTGACTCTCTCGGGATCCCAACACCTTGAGCCACATGTTACTGAGTGGAGTTTATGACTCAGCTGGCTCCTGGGGCCCTGCTGCCTTATTTATGATCAGGGCTTTGCTTGAGGCTCTGTGAAGCAAAGTTGGAACAAAAATGACACCCTGTAGGTCACTTCTGTACCTTACGCAGGACTAGAGAAATCCCATCCACTAGGAGCCATCCACAAAGACCTCTGCACCGAAGCTTGTGCTGTTGTGATGTTTGAGAGATCCAAGGATTTCTTGGAGAACTGAGTGGTTCTTTCCAAGTCTGCATTTATAAACATGAATGCAGGATCATAAATCCTATACCCCTGACTTCCTTATTGACTTGGTCTTAATCATAATGAACACCATTTATGCCAATTTAGTATTCTTTTTAGGTAAATGGCATTTAACATTCCCACACAAACTAAAATGGGTAAATTGAAGAGGTTTTAAAAATTTTGGATGATATCCAGAATGATTTGGCTGCATTTTAAATATTATGTATCATAGTTTGTATGAATTATCTGAAAACTCCCTCCTCCAAGTCTGTTTTTGAGCGTGATTCTGATATTTCAGTAAAGTGGGGAAAAAACACATTTGTACAATTTGAATGTATGATAATGACAAATCAGTTTATAAGAAGGTAAATAGCAGAGTGTTCTAGAATTTGAAATTCTTTTCAAACATAGCAGCAACTAGAACATTTATCAATAACTGCCCTTCATGATGTCTGTCAACTTTTAATATTGCTCTTTTAACCAACCCCATCCCCAGTCCTTTTCTGCACTACTGTTTGAGGGAGAGGTGCTTTCACTCCATTCTCTTTCTGAGGAAGGTCTAATTTCCTTTAAGATGCTAGTGGCAGACCTTGCGGTTCCGTCTCCTGTCACCTGGGCCTCCTCAGGAGCTCTGAGTGTGCCTCTCTTGAGTGGAGCTCTGTGGTGTCTGTGTGAAGATCTGAATGCATTCTCAGTGGCTCTCCAATGTGTAGACCAGCTCTCTTATGTTAGTATGGTTAGTATTCTGTCGTTCCCATCGTGTCCTTGTGTTTTTTCAGATGTCTCAGCTAGAGGTTGACTATAAGCCTAATTTCCTACATATTAAGAAATCCATAAAAGGCACTGAAATCATGCTTAGACTCTCTGTTATGATAATAACAATGTTAATGGGATAATATGCTGGGACCAGATGTATGACAGTTGCTTAAAAATTAATACCTCATTCTTACCTATCTGGGTGTTTATAATAAATGTTTTGCCTCACCATTTGTCTTTCAGCAGTTCACAGTTCCACGTCACCAGACATAATGAGGTTGGCAGAAGAACCTTGCTGACATCCAAATGCCTTCTTGTTTTCCTGCTCTGTTTGAATGTCAGGAATCTCCTGCCAGTCATTCCTAAGTCGGTTTATGAGGAAAACACTGAATAAAAGAGCTGTGCCTCTTCTATGGCTCTGCCTCCCTGCTCTGCCATCCACGCACAGCTTCACCCTGTGTCCCACTCGGAGAATGGGGGAAAATGGCCGTATAGCAAATTCTGCTTTGACTTTCTTTCCACTGGTTCCGCATCATATTGTCTGGCTTGTCTGTTGTTTATTTATCCATTTATTCATTCTTACAGTAAAATTTCTACCAAGCACATGCTGTGTGCCAGGTGGGATTTACGATGCTGAGTGTACAAAGGTGAACAAGATTGATGAGATCTCTGTCCTCATGGAACTTACACTGTAGTCAGGGGGGAAAATAGTATACAAAGAAACAAAGAATGAAGGTGTGTGCTATGAAGAAAATAAAACCAAGTAAGTGACAGAGTGACTGGGGGCAGGCAGCACTGGCAGGGTGGGGAAGCAAAGGCTTCTTTCAAGAGTGGCATTTGCAGTGAGACTGAAGAACAGGAGGATGCCAGCCTGTGACAATCCGGTGAAAAGCCAACCAGGCTTTTCCATCACAAGTTCAAGTCCCAAGGCCCTGAGGTGGGAACCACTGCAATGGGCCAGAGAGGAAGAAGGAAGGTCAGAGCAGTTAAGGGGCGAGGAGCTTTTGGAATGGCTTCCCTTAGTCCTTCCTCCAAGCCATTTGTGCATGGGGGTGTTCCGTGGCCCCTCAGGGCATGGGTTCCCTGAGCCATCTGCTCACCAGCAGCAGGAGACCTAGGAACTGCCACTAAGGAATGGCAGAGGTTGAGTGGGGGCTTGATGTTTCCAGGCAGTCAGGTGTTGTGGGGAGAGAGTCACAAGATACGTCAGCTCTTCCTCAATCTTAGGGGGACCAAGGAGGCTATACCATCTCTTGATTGGCTAGCCAGTGCCTGGCATGTGCTGTCCTTGAGCAGAATCTCCACTGGTTGGTGGGGAGGGCATCTGAGTACCTGGTGCCCAGACTGGCAGCTGTCCCTTGGTGGGGAAGAGAGAGAGAAGTCTCAGACCACCACATTTCCTTCCCCTGAGCTGCTGACTGGTTCCTTGCTAGCTTTCTAATACAGTGGGTCACAGGCAAGGAGGATGCATTTATATATTTGCTAATTTTAATTTTTAAATTTTTTGAAAACTGTGTAACAATAATATTGATAAATGAAGAGCATAGAGAAATAATCACAAGTGACTCATATATCTTCAGTGCACTTCATAGTGGAGAAAAACAGTAAAGCTCCCTATTACACATGGCTTGTCCTTAAAAGGTGCGATTTTGTAATAAAAGACTTCTGAATGTTTTTACTAGTTCCTGACCGTTGCATGAACAATTTTCTTAAGTACCTCAATTTGTGAATAAGTGGTGTGCACATACATGCCCAAGAATGAACATGACTGGCTTTGTCTCCACCCCCTCCTCCTCGGGTGAGGCTGGGTGTTGTCCTGTTTATTCTTATCTCCCAGCCAGTGTGTAATAGGATAAGCAAAACAACATGCTGGTACAAAGGGCTGTTGTTTCCAGCCTTCTAACTGAGCTCCTCTCTGCTGAGGAGGAAGCAGCCACGCGTCTCTGTCATTATCTCAGGTAGCCGGGCTCCACAGCTCGTGGGGGTTTTCTTTGCTT